GTGCAGCTTTTGTTCTGGAGTAGGCAGAGGGTCAGCTCTGAACACACAACCACAGGGCTTCCCTCCTCAGCTGGGCAGGAGAAAGAGTGCGTCCCGAATATCCCTTCAAAACACTTCCAAAGGAACTGTAAAATCACAAATGAGGATTTTTAATATCTCAATTGTTTCTCCTATACGGTAATGCGATTAAATGGAGAGCAAATTAATAAAGTCTTCTGCTGAACAGATTTTTCTCTTTAGAAAATGACCCTGTCCATTTTAGAGTTTCAGAATTGGTCTCAACGGAGTCTGAGGCTGATGATACTTTGGTTAATGTTGCTGTCAATGGGCAACCAGGTGAGACACAGGGCTCACAACTGATCTAAAGTATCCAGATAGAAATTTGTTACCCATTCTCAGTGGGAAAGTACCCAAGAAACATTCCTCAAAAAAAGTTGCCCGGCAAAATTGCTCAAAAATTGCCCCGTGTATCATCAGCCTCAAACTGTGCTCAGATCTGCCAAAAATGTCAGTATGAACTCATACATTTCTCAACAGATTCTTCTGATATCAAATTATCTGAAATTGTCTCAATTGTTTTAATTTTTGGGGATTTACATTAAGAAGAACCATTTAAGACAAAGTTGATATCGAGCAATAACAACGCCCCTCTGGGTGATAATCTCAACAGGACAGAACAACCACAAACAAGATTTCTTTAATGTCTCTGTTGTATGTTGTTGGCCAAATGTTTCTTAGTTATAGCAATGAGAGGAAAAAGACCCAGAATTTCAGAGTAGATCTCAACAATGTCTCACTCTGCAGTTGACACTGACATGATACAAAACCAAGCAATAAAATTGCAACATGCAAGCAATAATAATAATGATCCTCTGGTGATGGTTGCCACAAACAATCACAAATGAGATCTCTTCTCAGTTACAGCAATGAGATTAGATGGAGATTTGTGCTTGCATCTTGAACTTCGCACCAGTATTCTCACATGTGTCTCCTCTAGAGTTTCAGAGACGTTTCAGAGAATTATCTGAGCTATGCACAATTATCTGAGCGATGCTATCTAGGTTCATTTTACGGCAGCAAATATCTTATCAGTGACTACTTTTATTTCTCCCCAGGAATTTTAGGGAGAAACATCTGTGACAAGGTTGTAACTCAATGAAATACAACTTGAGCTCTTCATTAAATCTCCTGAAGTATGAAAGAACAATGTTCCTGGGTGATGGTAAGTGAAAAATCCATCTGAATTTCAAATCCGTCCAAACGTTGATTATCAAAAACTAAAAAAAGGGGGGGGATTTCTATAGCTGGTTGGCGGAACTGACTACAAAACCTACGATGCAAATGTACCAAAGACCACCTTCTACAACTCTCTCTCTTGAGGAAAATACGAGGACGCTGTCAGTCAACTACACAAGGTTTTTGCTAAAACCAGTTTTGATATGAGAAAAAAATACAATCGCTAGAAAGTATTTTTTTTCTATAGGAAAGACAGCTTTAAAACAGAGTCCCAGTGCTCAGTAGTCCCCCATTGGGATGTTTGGGGGAGGATTATTCTAGAAGGTGTTGCACGTGGACTTCAATGAGAATCTGGCCTTTTACCGAGCTCGAGCTGTCAGCAGGAGTGCCCTAATCCTCAACTCATTCAGCCCAGCTTTAACACAGGAAAACACCACCTTGCTCCACCCTTTGACGGCCACAGAAAACACCTCTGCATCTCAAAGAGAGAGTAAAGCAGAGTGCACACAAACAGGGACTCGCGCTGAATCGGGGTGGTTTTTTAAGCCACCCTTGCCCTGCTGTTCACCCTTGACCCGCCTGTCCCACTGCCCCTTCTCTTTAAACAGCACAGCAGGGAAACTGGCAGATTAAAAAAAGCCCTGGGTTACAAACAGGTTAGTTGTGATGGTATTTTGCTGGTTGTGACTGTCCGCAAACACGCTGGGAGTTCAGTGCATCAATAAATAATACTTACCCTTTAAATACACAGTTTGAGAGCTCTTACCTAAACTTGCCACACACCTAGGTTAACAGGTTTATGAACCTAGACAACACAAGACCAACTGTATTGTTATGCAGTTCTAGTTTGAGCCATAACATACATAAATTGTCCAATTCGTAAACATTAGTCAATGCATTAGGTCCTCAGCTAACAAACAACATCTTTACAGCACTTATTAATATCAATATTAAGGTCTACAAATAAAAGCACATTCGCAACTTTTTTTTCTTCACAGAATAGAAGAAATTATGTCTACATATCAGAGATTATTAGTCAAAGTGTAGAAAGATATTGGGAGAGTCAGGTTTGGAAAGGTTGTTGAGAGTCAGTGTGAGAAGAAAAGCAAACGAGCACGAGAAAATAAGAGGGGGATGTTTCCTTAGCTTCTTTTGTGTTTACACGACAGGCTTTCAGGCATACTGACTGAATGAAAAACCTCTGTATTATGACACCCAGGGACCTGTGCCTACAGGTAGCTGACTAATTACACAATGCCAAAACCACGAAAACGCCCAGACCACGAAGCCTGTGCCACAAAAGAACAGACACTGAGGAAACAAAAACAGACGTGGAGAAATTACGACAGAATAAATCAAGACATTTGTTCTGAGGCCTGAGTTAGAACACAAAAACAGAAAATATTCCAAGTAAATATGAAACCTTACACAAGAAATCCTTTCAGATATACTTGAGGTTTCACAATGGTTAAGTCTTCAAACAAAAACAAAAGCGCGGGAACTGACCGGATGTCTGGTGTCCCCTTTTTTTTTTAGATTACACAATCAGTATCAGATTCCAGAAACACTTTACACTGAAACAACAGCTTGATAAACTTCAATGTCAATGAAGAATGTGCACTCAATACACTCTCAAGTCTCACGGATCTCTCAAGACTCTTGAGAATTTTCCAAACTGCAATTTTGCTCACTGGAGGAAGGGGACGCTATTCAAATGGTTGTTTTGAAAAAACAACAACAACTGGATCCTTTTGAGAAATGCTCTCCAAAAGGCCATTAGCGAAATGTACATATGATGATCACTTCAGAGAAGTACTTGAAGGACTAGCTGCTCACTTTCGACAAAGAATTCGCCCTTGTACTCTCCAGCAGTCCTCAGGTCCCCTCTCATTACTCATCATACTCAGACTATTCAATCAGCACCAAAGCTCGAGTCTCAATTCAGCTATTGTCGAGCATGGAACACCATAAAATTTCACAGATACTCATATATGCTTCTGGTGAAAGGAAATCTAATGAGCAAACATCTCAACAAGGTGACACCACCTTTAAAGTAAAATGTTAGTTGACTTACCTCAATTTTGTCCGTTTTGGCATCGCCCCAGTAAAGCTTTCCTGCGACATAGTCAATGGCCAAACCATTGGGCCAACCAAGTGAGGTGTTGAGCAGCACAACTCTGTCTGTTCCATCCAGGTTTGCTCGTTCGATCTTGGGCATCTCTCCCCAGTCAGTCCAGTACATGTATCTGCATAACAGCAACAAGAGGAAGGTAAATTACATGCTAATTCAGAAGGAATTCCCTTAAGTGATTTTAGAAATGAAGTACATAACTTCCATACCCGTTTATGGGATCTAACACGATGGCTCGTGGTTCATCCAGGTTCTCAGATATGAGGATGCGCCGAGAAGTGCCGTTGAGTCTAATCACCTCAATGCGATCAGTGCCGGTGTCCGTCCAGTAGAGGTTGCGTGCCACCCAGTCTACCGCAATTCCATCGGGATGGTTGATCTCATTGGTGACCAAAGTCTGGGTGTCGCTTCCGTCTATTCGGGCACGGCGGATTGCCCTCACCTCGTCATCCGTCCAGTAGACGTATCCTTCCACTGGGTCATAGTCGATGGCAATTGCGTGCCGGATGTCACTGACTTGTAAGACGATGTCTGTGAAGTCAGGTAAATCCAGGGATATCCGCCGAAGGTCAGTGCGGCGAGCCAGTAGAAGCACCTGCTCCGCCCCTGGTAATAAGATTGAGATTTGCTCATACGGTTGAGAACGACGAAGACATCTGCTACTGCAAAAGATTCATTATGGACCAGAGATCACCTGGCCTTTGACCTGCACCGTCTACTTCAATTAGGAAAGCAGTAACTCAAAAGCATCTAGCAAAAAGGTAGACAAATATGTGTATTAAGACTACTACCGTGCCTAGGGTGACTAATTACACAATGCCAAAAACACGAAAACGCCCAGACCACGAAGCCTGTGCCACAAAAGAACAGACACTGAGGAAACAAAAACAGACGAGGAGAAATTACGACAGAATAAATCAAGATATTTGTTCTGAGGCCTGAGTTAGAACACAAAAACAGAAAATATTCCAAGTAAATATGAAACCTTACACAAGAAATCCTTTCAGATATACTTGAGGTTTCACAATGGTTAAGTCTTCAAACAAAAACAAAAGCGCGGGAACTGACCGGATGTCTGGTGTCCCCTTTTTTTTTTAGATTACACAATCAGTATCAGATTCCAGAAACACTTTACACTGAAACAACAGCTTGATAAACTTCAATGTCAATGAAGAATGTGCACTCAATACACTCGCAAGTCTCACGGATCTCTCAAGACTCTTGAGAATTTTCCAAACTGCAATTTTGCTCACTGGAGGAAGGGGACGCTATTCAAATGGTTGTTTTGAAAAAACAACAACTGGATCCTTTTGAGAAATGCCCTCCAAAAGGCCATTAGCGAAATGTACATATGATGATCACTTCAGAGAAGTACTTGAAGGACTAGCTGCTCACTTTCGACAAAGAATTCGCTCTTGTACTCTCCAGCAGTCCTCAGGTCCCCTCTCATTACTCATCATACTCAGACTATTCAATCAGCACCAAAGCTCGAGTCTCAATTCAGCTATTGTCGAGCATGGAACACCATAAAATTTCACAGATACTCATATATGCTTCTGGTGAAAGGAAATCTAATGAGCAAACATCTCAACAAGGTGACACCACCTTTAAAGTAAAATGTTAGTTGACTTACCTCAATTTTGTCCGTTTTGGCATCGCCCCAGTAAAGCTTTCCTGCGACATAGTCAATGGCCAAACCATTGGGCCAACCAAGGGAGGTGTTGAGCAGCACAACTCTGTCTGTTCCATCCAGGTTTGCTCGTTCGATCTTGGGCATCTCTCCCCAGTCAGTCCAGTACATGTATCTGCATAACAGCAACAAGAGGAAGGTAAATTACATGCTAATTCAGAAGGAATTCCCTTAAGTGATTTTAGAAATGAAGTACATAACTTCCATACCCGTTTATGGGATCTAACACGATGGCTCGTGGTTCATCCAGGTTCTCAGATATGAGGATGCGCCGAGAAGTGCCGTTGAGTCTAATCACCTCAATGCGATCAGTGCCGGTGTCCGTCCAGTAGAGGTTGCGTGCCACCCAGTCTACCGCAATTCCATCGGGATGGTTGATCTCATTGGTGACCAAAGTCTGGGTGTCGCTTCCGTCTATTCGGGCACGGCGGATTGCCCTCACCTCGTCATCCGTCCAGTAGACGTATCCTTCCACTGGGTCATAGTCGATGGCAATTGCGTGCCGGATGTCACTGACTTGTAAGACGATGTCTGTGAAGTCAGGTAAATCCAGGGATATCCGCCGAAGGTCAGTGCGGCGAGCCAGTAGAAGCACCTGCTCCGCCCCTGGTAATAAGATTGAGATTTGCTCATACGGTTGAGAACGACGAAGACATCTGCTACTGCAAAAGATTCATTATGGACCAGAGATCACCTGGCCTTTGACCTGCATCGTCTACTTCAATTAGGAAAGCAGTAACTCAAAAGCATCTAGCAAAAAGGTAGACAAATATGTGTATTAAGACTACTACCGTGCCTAGGGCACAGATTCAACTCGTCAAAGAAAACAAAGTCTGACAGTAGCAATTAGTAGCATGAATTGCAGAGTTGTCCCTGCAGATGGTGCACTGCAAGATCGCATTGCTCCATTACAAAAACCGCATGCCAGGTTTAAATACCAACAGTAGAATCTGTCTAGACCCAATCTGTGGAAGCAATTAGGTCTAACCTTGTCCTTATTTAATCTCTCTTTGTAACCGAGCACGCTCCAGTACCCACAACACCAGCTGCGGTCCACGGCACCCAATAAGTAGTGACATCCATCAGCGCTGACACCAATAAGAAGAGGAAAAAACAGCTCCTCTAGGGTTTCTTGGGCTTTTTTTAAAACTTCTTTTGGTTTTAATTTGACCTTCGTTCTGCCTTGCATGTTATCAAAGCGAGTGGACGTCTGACTAAACCAAAACAAATGCCTTCAATTTAGCCATCCAAGCTAAACAAGTATGAGGTGTGGACGTTTGCTCATGCTAATCCTTTGTCCTACTGGAGCCACTCGTGCCCTTGCTTTGCCGCTAATGAAAGTCCAGTACAATGGGCTATTGTTTGTTCTGATTAGTTGTCAACTTTTCAGGAGAGTTGCTTAATCCTGAGGTCAGTGGGAATATGTTTCATTTGGCCAGACAACCTCCCCTGCCCTCTGCTAATGCAACACTGGACAGCTCCATGTTTCAATTGCGCCACTGGAATGAAGGCTTGAAGAATACTTCTCATTGTTTCCTGGCCTGGGAATACACTGCCTCAAATTTTAAGGAGTTATAAATTCAAGTAGAAAGGCAGAGCAACTTGGGAAGGGGTGAATGTATTTTTTTCTAATAAAAGAGCAGTCTGTCATTAGCAGGCTGAGTGCACAGATACAATGGACAAGTCTGTTCTGGAGAGGCTGGGAAATAAAAAAACCTTAAGCAAGCCAGGGGGTGAAGCCTGATTTTAGAGTAGCCCTTAATGCGTAATGTACGTCCTCATCAAGTGTGTGCCATTCAAATAAAATTAGTCAAATGCATTTTGCTTTTGAACAAGAAAAGTCCTTTTTGGACATACAAATATGCCTGGATCTTTCTGTCGTCCTCAATTTACTTTACTACAATTACTACACTACCCACAAAGTTTCACCAATTAATTTCCAATACTTATTTTTATTAAAAGTTACATTTTTGATTTGAAAGGATCATGTTCATGACTTCTAAGATTTTATCTAATGCAATGACTTTTCCAGACCTGGCAAATGTCATTTTTAAATTCCCTGGTATTTCCAAGGACCCCATAATGACTACCAATTTACAACCAGCAAAGGGGCATTCCTTAAGGAGTCTGGAGATGAGGGAATGCATACAAACCACCGAGTAATTCAACCAAACTGAACTGGACCTAAATGCACAAACATTGGACTGACCTGGTCAGCCACCAAAAAAAGGTGACCTTGTCATGGGACCACCAAAGCCCCAAACTAGGTCTACCAGCTCTTCATCTAGACTAAAATTCTCATTACAAAGAGAAAAAGAAGCAAATTGTGTCAGCTGTTCTGGAATAAGGTTATGAATCATGATTGCTGAATCAGAAGAGAGTGATTTTGACTAAATTGTAAACTCAAATGAACCACCATCTGTCAAACATTAGTCTCTGTCATGGTCTTCTGTGCAGGACGGCATGCAAATGTTTTATAGATGCACAATACGCCAATCCTCATACCAAAACCAGCCCATGAAAGGCCACAGTTCATAAAAATCTAATTTTACGCTCGAGAGCAGGAACATCATAATAAAATTACAAATGCAACAAAACCATTCCATGCTCTTCATAGAAAAGCAGCCATATCTATCTATCTATCTATCTATCTATCTATCTATCTATCTATCATGAATTACTTTTTAAGCATTCAAATCAGCATGTTTTTTTTACCTGGTTGACAAGTCTTTCCATCCTCTTTGAGTTTAACCCCAGTTGGACAAGCACAGCTATAGAAGGGCGGCACGGGAGAGAGGAGACACAGGTGGGAACAGTCTCCATTTCTTTCACTGCATGGAGTTTGAACTGTGGAGTAGCTGCTCACTTTCGACAAAGAATTCGCTCTTGTACTCTCCAGCAGTCCTCAGGTCCCCTCTCATTACTCATCATACTCAGACTATTCAATCAGCACCAAAGCTCGAGTCTCAATTCAGCTATTGTCGAGCATGGAACACCATAAAATTTCACAGATACTCATATATGCTTCTGGTGAAAGGAAATCTAATGAGCAAACATCTCAACAAGGTGACACCACCTTTAAAGTAAAATGTTAGTTGACTTACCTCAATTTTGTCCGTTTTGGCATCGCCCCAGTAAAGCTTTCCTGCGACATAGTCAATGGCCAAACCATTGGGCCAACCAAGTGAGGTGTTGAGCAGCACAACTCTGTCTGTTCCATCCAGGTTTGCTCGTTCGATCTTGGGCATCTCTCCCCAGTCAGTCCAGTACATGTATCTGCATAACAGCAACAAGAGGAAGGTAAATTACATGCTAATTCAGAAGGAATTCCCTTAAGTGATTTTAGAAATGAAGTACATAACTTCCATACCCGTTTATGGGATCTAACACGATGGCTCGTGGTTCATCCAGGTTCTCAGATATGAGGATGCGCCGAGAAGTGCCGTTGAGTCTAATCACCTCAATGCGATCAGTGCCGGTGTCCGTCCAGTAGAGGTTGCGTGCCACCCAGTCTACCGCAATTCCATCGGGATGGTTGATCTCATTGGTGACCAAAGTCTGGGTGTCGCTTCCGTCTATTCGGGCACGGCGGATTGCCCTCACCTCGTCATCCGTCCAGTAGACGTATCCTTCCACTGGGTCATAGTCGATGGCAATTGCGTGCCGGATGTCACTGACTTGTAAGACGATGTCTGTGAAGTCAGGTAAATCCAGGGATATCCGCCGAAGGTCAGTGCGGCGAGCCAGTAGAAGCACCTGCTCCGCCCCTGGTAATAAGATTGAGATTTGCTCATACGGTTGAGAACGACGAAGACATCTGCTACTGCAAAAGATTCATTATGGACCAGAGATCACCTGGCCTTTGACCTGCATCGTCTACTTCAATTAGGAAAGCAGTAACTCAAAAGCATCTAGCAAAAAGGTAGACAAATATGTGTATTAAGACTACTACCGTGCCTAGGGCACAGATTCAACTCGTCAAAGAAAACAGAGTCTGACAGTAGCAATTAGTAGCATGAATTGCAGAGTTGTCCCTGCAGACGGTGCACTGCAAGATCGCATTGCTCCATTACAAAAACCGCATGCCAGGTTTAAATACCAACAGTAGAATCTGTCTAGACCCAATCTGTGGAAGCAATTAGGTCTAACCTTGTCCTTATTTAATCTCTCTTTGTAACCGAGCACGCTCCAGTACCCACAACACCAGCTGCGGTCCACGGCACCCAATAAGTAGTGACATCCATCAGCGCTGACACCAATAAGAAGAGGAAAAAACAGCTCCTCTAGGGTTTCTTGGGCTTTTTTTAAAACTTCTTTTGGTTTTAATTTGACCTTCGTTCTGCCTTGCATGTTATCAAAGCGAGTGGACGTCTGACTAAACCAAAACAAATGCCTTCAATTTAGCCATCCAAGCTAAACAAGTATGAGGTGTGGACGTTTGCTCATGCTAATCCTTTGTCCTACTGGAGCCACTCGTGCCCTTGCTTTGCCGCTAATGAAAGTCCAGTACAATGGGCTATTGTTTGTTCTGATTAGTTGTCAACTTTTCAGGAGAGTTGCTTAATCCTGAGGTCAGTGGGAATATGTTTCATTTGGCCAGACAACCTCCCCTGCCCTCTGCTAATGCAACACTGGACAGCTCCATGTTTCAATTGCGCCACTGGAATGAAGGCTTGAAGAATACTTCTCATTGTTTCCTGGCCTGGGAATACACTGCCTCAAATTTTAAGGAGTTATAAATTCAAGTAGAAAGGCAGAGCAACTTGGGAAGGGGTGAATGTATTTTTTTCTAATAAAAGAGCAGTCTGTCATTAGCAGGCTGAGTGCACAGATACAATGGACAAGTCTGTTCTGGAGAGGCTGGGAAATAAAAAAACTTTAAGCAAGCCAGGGGGTGAAGCCTGATTTTAGAGTAGCCCTTAATGCGTAATGTACGTCCTCATCAAGTGTGTGCCATTCAAATAAAATTAGTCAAATGTATTTTGCTTTTGAACAAGAAAAGTCCTTTTTGGACATACAAATATGCCTGGATCTTTCTGTCGTCCTCAATTTACTTTACTACAATTACTACACTACCCACAAAGTTTCACCAATTAATTTCCAATACTTATTTTTATTAAAAGTTACATTTTTGATTTGAAAGGATCATGTTCATGACTTCTAAGATTTTATCTAATGCAATGACTTTTCCAGACCTGGCAAATGTCATTTTTAAATTCCCTGGTATTTCCAAGGATCCCATAATGACTACCAATTTACAACCAGCAAAGGGGCATTCCTTAAGGAGTCTGGAGATGAGGGAATGCATACAAACCACCGAGTAATTCAACCAAACTGAACTGGACCTAAATGCACAAACATTGGACTGACCTGGTCAGCCACCAAAAAAAGGTGACCTTGTCATGGGACCACCAAGGCCCCAAACTAGGTCTACCAGCTCTTCATCTAGACTAAAATTCTCATTACAAAGAGAAAAAGAAGCAAATTGTGTCAGCTGTTCTGGAATAAGGTTATGAATCATGATTGCTGAATCAGAAGAGAGTGATTTTGACTAAATTGTAAACTCAAATGAACCACCATCTGTCAAACATTAGTCTCTGTCATGGTCTTCTGTGCAGGACGGCATGCAAATGTTTTATAGATGCACAATACGCCAATCCTCATACCAAAACCAGCCCATGAAAGGCCACAGTTCATAAAAATCTAATTTTACGCTCGAGAGCAGGAACATCATAATAAAATTACAAATGCAACAAAACCATTCCATGCTCTTCATAGAAAAGAAGCCATATCTATCTATCTATCTATAGTATACATTTTGGGTATTTTTAAGCATTCAAACTAACATGTTTTTTTTACCTGGTCGACAAGTCTTTCCATCCTCTTTGAGTTTAACCCCAGTTGGACAAGCACAGCTATAGAAGGGCGGCACGGGAGAGAGGAGACACAGGTGGGAACAGTCTCCATTTCTTTCACTGCATGGAGTTTGAACTGTGGAGTAAATGACAGGGAAAGTGGAAAGCTATAAAACTGTTGTCTATTAGACATTACTGCAAAGAGCAATGACCTCTTGGTTAAAAAATGACCAGAAAACACTGTGATCTAAAGAGTGTGTGAATGTTTCACCAAATCCCCACCTTAATTTGAGAAAGTTAATCAGATAGGGTGATTAATGTCAGAGCACTGAATTATATTGTAAATACAGGTCTGGTATATAAATAACCAAGGCTTTAACGCAATAACCCTACTCTTTTATTGCTCAGGACACTTAACAGTTAAGTTTTTTGTGTCTTAGTTATGCTGTGCTTAATTTAGGCAAACCTGAAAATCTCAAAAGGAGATGACCTTAATTTATTAACACTGATGACTAGGAGATAGTGAAATAAAGCGATCTAATGTGTGATTTTACTTTACTTTTAAATGACTTGACGTGTTATTTTCGAGATTCGGTCACACAATGCGTTATTTGGCACTAAATGGCTATGAACTTCCTTTTCACCTGTGACACGATAGATTAGAAAAGAGGTAAAAAAACAGCATTGCTCAGTTCCTAAACAAAACTGCAGCCCTTGAACAAAAGCAGGTGGCAGCAAAACATTTTATTTCCTGTAACAGGTTTTTCCATTTCCACCAGGTCACGCTCTGCTCTTCGCAGCCTCTCAGAAAACACATCTGCTCCATCAGGAAAACTTAGGCGGCCCTGACCCAACACTTGCTATCCCCCTCTTCTACATGCTGCTCGCAGATGTGGTGTCTGCCCAGCACACTGACTGATGACTGGTCCACAGTTCAAGGACACATGAGGAAATTCACTAAATACCAATACAGGCACATTTGTGTGGACAAAGTATAATGCTCGACTATGCAACTGCAATAATATAAATACATATATTTAAAAAATAAATAATATTAATTATTATTAACTTTAATTATTATATCAATTATTATTACTGATAAATACTGCTACGAGTCATCCTCACAAAATAATTAGTATTAATCACAAACATTTCATTAAATCTTAGCAAATTATAAAACATAAGTAGTTTTATACATTATCATATTACTAAAATATATAATGCTATACAATTAATTACAACATTATTAATCAATAATATTATTAAAATAAATAGTGCTCTACAATTAATTACAACATTATCACTCAAAAATATGTTATGACATTCTGCTATGTTATCCACACATTTTTTTAAGGATTAAATTAATTTACACTATTGTTCAAAACTTTGGGCTAATTTTTTCTGTTTGAACTTCTTTAAGAAATTTATTATTTTATTCTCCAAGAATGCACTGAATTTATCAAAAGTGACAATATAGACATTTTTATATATTATTATAAAAGTATACACAACAACGTTTTCAACAACGTTAATAAGTATAAAAGTTTTTTGAGCAGCAATTTGCAAATCAGCATTTTATTATTTCTGAAATGTCAAGTAGACTCGGTCACACAATGCGTTATTTGGCACTAAATAGCTATGAACTTCCTTTTCACCTGTGACACGATAGATTAGAAAAGAGGTAAAAAACAGCATTGCTCAGTTCCTAAACAAAACTGCAGCCCTTGAACAAAAGCAGGTGGCAGCAAAACATTTTATTTCCTGTAACAGGTTTTTCCATTTCCACCAGGTCACGCTCTGCTCTTCGCAGCCTCTCAGAAAACACATCTGCTCCATCAGGAAAACTTAGGCGGCCCTGACCCAACACTTGCTATCCCCCTCTTCTACATGCTGCTCGCAGATGTGGTGTCTGCCCAGCACACTGACTGATGACTGGTCCACAGTTCAAGGACACATGAGGAAATTCACTAAATACCAATACAGGCACATTTGTGTGGACAATGTATAATGCTCGACTATGCAACTGCAATAATATAAATACATATATTTAAAAAATAAATAATATTAATTATTATTAACTTTAATTATTATATCAATTATTATTACTGATAAATACTGCTACGAGTCATCCTCACAAAATAATTAGTATTAATCACAAACATTTCATTAAATCTTAGCAAATTATAAAACATAAGTAGTTTTATACATTATCATATTACTAAAATATATAATGCTATACAATTAATTACAACATTATTAATCAATAATATTATTAAAATAAATAGTGCTCTACAATTAATTACAACATTATCACTCAAAAATATGTTATGACATTCTGCTATGTTATCCACACATTTTTTTAAGGATTAAATTAATTTACACTATTGTTCAAAACTTTGGGCTAATTTTTTCTGTTTGAACTTCTTTAAGAAATGTATTATTTTATTCTCCAAGAATGCACTGAATTGATCAAAAGTGACCATATAGACATTTTTATATATTATTATAAAAGTATACACAACAACGTTAATAAGTATAAAAGTTTTTTGAGCAGCAATTTGCAAATCAGCATTTTATTATTTCTGAAATGTCAAGTAGACTGGAGTAATGCCTGCTGAAAATTCAGATTTGCCATCACAGGAAAACATATTAAAATAGAAACAGTTATTTTAAACTGCAATAATATTTCACATTATTCTTTTTGATTAAACAAATGCAGCCTTAGTGAGCAAGAGACTTTAGAAACAACAACTAAAACAATTTTCAATATTTGTTATTTATTTTGTCTTTTTAATTTATCAGCAGTTTTATAAATATTTTATAATTGTTTTTATCTGTTATATTAGATATTTAGGTTTAACAAAAAAAAATAAAAAAATTGTTCCAAGTGCCCACTGGAACCACCCTGGTTTGTTTGCATGATGATTGCTTCATCCTTTCTTTATTATCTTACCTCCAACACAACAAACACTTACCTAGTGGGGTCTTTGCAGGCTGTTTAATGTTTTTCGGAGCAATCCACACCCACATCCTCACACACACAGACTAAGGTGGGGGTGGGATCGTGCTGGGACTGTTCCCCATCTCCACTGAGGAACTGTGTTTATTTGTTCAGAGTGGAATGCAGGACACTTGAAAAATTTCATTCCCTGAGAACTATTCTCCCCAGATTGCCTCACGGGCCAAATGGCCGACACTTTTACAAAGAGACAGTACAGTAAGTGCTGAAAGAATGACCTAAAAATTAAACATGGAATGTGAAGGATCTCTTGAGGGAAACTGACCTGAGCCCAACATTGAAGATTACTGTTCCTTCACAAACATGGTTTGTGAAAATGTGATGTGTATTCGAGCTTCAAATCAGTCTGAATCTTAGGGCCAGCACTTAAACCTCATGGGTCCTGGGTCGGAGCAATCCACACCCACATCCTCACACACACAGACTAAGGTGGGGGTGGGATCGTGCTGGGACTGCTCCCCATCTCCACTGAGGAACTGTGTTTATTTGTTCAGAGTGGAATGCAGGACACTTGAAAAATTTCATTCCCTGAGAACTATTCTCCCCAGATTGCCTCACGGGCCAAATGGCCGACACTTTTACAAAGAGACAGTACAGTAAGTGCTGAAAGAATGACCTAAAAATTAAACATGGAATGTGAAGGATCTCTTGAGGGAAACTGACCTGAGCCCAACATTGAAGATTACTGTTCCTTCACAAACATGGTTTGTGAAAATGTGATGTGTATTCGAGCTTCAAATCAGTCTGAATCTTAGGGCCAGCACTTAAACCTCATGGGTCCTGGGATAAAATGTGTATTTTGTTCTGGTTTGATAAAAACCCAACCATCTATCAACTAGTGTTGTGAGTTCCTGAGGTGAGTACACTCACTGTTGGGCTGCCGCTCTTGGCCCAGCACCTGGATGTCCATCGGCGAGTAAATGCCGCTGAGAATTTCTCTCCGTTTCTCTCCAGTATATTTGTTACAGGCGTGGATGGATCGGGTCTGCCAGTCTGTCCAGTAGAGTGTCTTTTCATAAAGAGTGAGGGCGAATGGGTGAGTGAGGGAACCCTCCACAACGGCCTCCCTGTAAGCGTCAACACATATATGTCAATACACACCCCACTTAAATTATCAACATATGTTGCATTTTGGATGTTAGATGCATTTTAAGTGACGCACGACAGCTCAAAAATTTGAGGTCTGTTTTATTCAGAAAAAGTCATGAAAATCTGACTTTTTCCATGTTTAATTGCTACAATCGGTTTCCATGTACCAACCCAGAAAACGTTAATCATTTTTTTTTGTAAGCCTTTCTCTGCAAGCTTGTGAAAAAAAACGAGCCGCTCAAACTTTGCTCCGCTCGTGACGTACAAAGGGGATCTTATTATAATATTACCACCCCTATATTATTACATATATATTAATCTATTATTTATTGAAATTCAAAAAATTTAAGTTATAAATGCATTAATTTAACATTTTAATCAATTTAATAAAAATAAAAAAAAACTTTTCAGATTGACAACTAAATGAATGTGTATGCCATTAAAAAATTGCAAGTGATTTTTTAAATTGTATTTAAATTTTCTTTTTAACTAAATTTTTAAAATTAAATCACTTTAAACTGATGCCTTTTTGGTATACTAGGAATGACATTTAATTTATTTCAGTTCTACTCTAAAACTATGAAGAAATCAATCGTCACGTCTCCATGATATTCTGGTCTCCAGACATAGGTCAGGTTCCTCCTTCAATGACGTCTGCTGGACTACAGGCCTAGCCAGACCATATGACTCCAGCAGATCGACTAGCAATGCAAATCTTAACATAGCAGAGGGTCCGACATACTTTTCTTTATTGAAGTTGCTACGAAATCCTACACACACAAAATGAAATGTAACACTTTGGCTTGGGGGCCCGAATCATACCCATAATGCCAGGCGGGATCGGGTTACAGTGGTATATGGCACGGAGGTCATCTCAAGTTAAGAGTGGGCGGAAGTAGGGAGAGGGGTCTCAAACTGGGCCTACGTGCAGGGAGTGTTTGGATTGGGCCACAGACTCCATACCATTGGGAAAGGGAAAGAAATACAAGGAGATGAATTGAGAATAAGTGTGAAAGAATGAGGAAACTGACCGAGCCGTTCCGTCCAAGTTGGCCCTGTGGATGAAGCTGAGCTTGGCATCCGCCCAGTAGAGTTTCTGCTCCTCAAGGTCGATGGTCAGTCCATTGGGCCAGTAGATTTGCTTCTGGACAATGATTTGTCGACTGCTGCCGTCCATTCCCGCCCTTTCTATTCTTGGCTCCTCCCCCCAGTCAGTCCAATACATGTACCTGAGAAGAAAAAAAGCAGGCGTCAGTCAGCTGGTTTCCATTATCCCAGAGAAAAAAAAGTGAAAACTAGTCAACCGGTCAACCCTCTGACTAGACGATGAAAATATATAGTTTTCACATCCGTATTTGCAAGAAGTATAACATGCAATCAGCAACAAAGAGCAGCAGGCGTCAGTCAGCTGGTTTCCATTATCCCAGAGAAAAAAAAGTGAAAACTAGTCAACCGGTCAACCCTCTGACTATAGACGATGAAAATATATAGTTTTCACATCCGTATTTGCAAGAAGTATAACATGCAATCAGCAACAAAGAGCAAACAAACTCAAGTACAGCAAACTCAAGTTGCAACGGTTTACGTATTGACTGGAAGCTGCTCAAGGTTAGGCAACATGGATTTGGAGTTAGACTAAACAAACGTTTCAAGAGCAGGCTGTTTTCAAAGCAAACCATATCAGCGTTATATTTGCCAGAGCTTGTCTCGCTTGAAACACTTCATATGAGAGAAACACAACACAGCAACCAAGCCAAAGCACATGCTAAACAACTCTAAACTTTTTTGTTGGTAAAAAGGCTTATTTATGTGTTCAGGAAATACTAGCAGTCAATTCTAATTTGCATGAAAAGAAATGGATTGTAAACTAGCCATACTAACCTAAAAATATCAAATATAAAAAATAAAAAAACACTTTGTAAAAGGAATAGTTCACCCATAAACCTAGAGCTGCAAGATGAATGTATACACTACCCAAAATTGTGATATGGCTTATCAAATCTCAAATAATCATATACTTAAATATATGTGCTGTGTTTCAGAGTGAAGCACGTCACTGTATTCATTTACACACAATCAACTCACAATTCATTGTTTTCAGTTTCTCAGAGCAGCTTGGTTTGCAGTACAAGCTACTCCACACATGAAACACTAGGGTAAGAATATTTCTTATTTTATTTAGTTTTTGGTAATAATAATTAATAAAAATTACATAATATAATACTTATTATACTGCACCTCTACAAACAAGCACAGAAACATTGCACAATTTTTAGAAAAAAAAAGTTTTTTTTTTCTTTAAATTATATTAAAAATAAATTAAAATAATTTATATTAAAAAAACGCAATTCAAACCTGGTGCAAAGTCTTCACTTGTCAAGCCATAAAACATAGCGATTTCAATGCATAGTTGCTTAAATAATTAAGTCTTTTTCTAACACAATGCTATTTTATAATTTTAGAACACTTGGTGTATAAAGTACAAGTTATATGAACAACTTATGTTACTTTTTTTCTCATAGTTGCAGCTTGAAAATCTGTTACCATTTATTTTCAATGGAATACAGCAGCAATAACATTGTGCTAAATATCTCCTTTTGTGTACCTCTGAAGAAAAGAGTTGAGAGTGAGTAAACGATGATAATGACACTGAGTAAACTGCTAATTTAAAAACACTAATACTATCATAGGTAAGGGCACATCAAACTCGCAAAATTGAATTACTTAAGATGTTGTATTGTAACTCAAGCACAGCTGAGAAACTGTGGTATTTTTCTTGATGACACTTCAGTGAACTGTTAAATGGTATGGACTGCCTTTATCAGCAATGGTTAAGTTGTTTTATGCCTTCCTTAACCAGAACAATGCCCTGTTCATGCTGTAAAGCATCATGTGTGTGAGTCTAGCCGGTTTTTTTGTAGGTCACGTATAGCCTATTAGCCTATTTGTGAGGGAATATGACGCAACTGAAAAATTATATTACAGTAGTGCAGCTAAACTATAGGCCTATCCATAATGAGTGTCAAAATGCCATCCAGTTGTCTAATCAACACAAAAAAGCAAACCTTTTTGGAATTAAAGGAGAAAAAATGGGGAATGAAGACCAAAAAAAAAGGAAAAAAGACAACTGAAAATAGAAAATATGCATAAAGGGAAGCATTCGCCCAGGGAAGCTGTGATTACTTGTAGTGTACAAGCTACGACAGCAAGCGTGTCGCCAACGGAAGCACTTATCAAATCTCATGCCAGCAGGGAGACCAAGCATGAAAACTCAACCAGCCCTTCCTCCCCTGAGATGCATCCTATTAGCCTGCCTGTGGCTCCAACGGTTGTGCTGCATTTTTCTCAATTAGGAACTTTAGCATTACACCGCTGCCGAAATCTGATGGCTGACAGAACAAAGAGACGGTTAAACAATGGTTTTGCAGAAGGCCATAACAAGGACAATAACTCTTCGAATGTCACACTGTAGCGAGGTTCATAACTGGGACTTTGACTTCAAATTTAGCAACTCATTAGCAAGGGATGAGTCAGAATGGTCTGCTAATTGACCAACCGTCTAAGAAAGTTTAAATGTATAGCTTTTAAAGCACCACAGCTAGAGATATCAAATAGGAGAAATTATGTGGTACAATTTAATGGCTAAAGGTGCACATTTACAATTTTCTTGTCAAATTTTTGCCTTCAAAAAGGTGGAATTTCCCCACAGGTTCAAGTTGGTCAGATGAATTTGCCGCGCTGAACAACAGCAAGTTGCTTGGTTTGAAATTTCACAGAGATTTCACTTTACGTCTAGCAGAAGTTAGCGCAACGACCAATACCGCTAACAGCAGCTTTAAATCTTTGGGAAGCTACATTTTTAACTTTAGTTTATACAATTACATGTATATAATCATGTTTATATGATTATCAGCACACTTTTAAAAACACTTTATAGTTTTGCACCTGCTAAAAGCTAGATAAGAGTTCCTCAGAAAGCTAATGCAACACAAAGAGTGTAGCACTCTCAGCTCCATTTAACACTTTTGCCATATTTATAACCAAATTTCTACATATTTTACTGTTTAGAGTACAATTTTGTCAATCTATATGAACATTACGAAGGCAAAGTAGCTGTACAGTGCTAGAAAACATATGAAGCTAAGTCCCATTTTGCTGTTGCTACCAAAACTAGATATCACATTAAAGAAAAAATCTCATGCAAAGACGTCAGTGGAGACAAACAACCAGCGTCAGTATCTCTGGAGTGCGTGCGAGCGAGTTTGTTGTGATTTTGTCTGTGTTATACACAGATATAAACCTGACGCTTGGCCACGCAACAGAGAATATCAACTGGAGCCACCCAATGAAAGGAGATTGTGGAATGTCTACAGAAGATGGCAGAACGTCTCCAAACGTTAAATACCAGGTACATATTTGCTATATAACTCCACATAAAAAAACTTTTGTCAGATATTTGGATGTGCCATGCCTGTCTGGCTATAAAATCAGTATTTTTTGATCATACTTAAATTCAAGAAGAGTCAGCAAACTTAACACGGCAGTAAATAAAAAGATCCACTCTTTTCATCTCATGGTAATTCATCTTTTCACTCCTCCCAAGCCTCTTTTGGAGAACGTGAAAACAATGAACGTGTCTTGAGAACAGACAAACATAATTCAGGGGCCCCTGCATGCGGTTGCTCTCACTCTGAGGGGGTTGGGCCCGACAGAGGTCTTGGATCTCCACTGTAAATCTCAACTCAAAGCTCTCAGGCGGTGACGATAAGAAAATAAAATCACATGAAGATTATATTAAGTATGTCTGCTCAAAAATGCCAGACATTAACTTTCGGCTTGCAGTGTAACTGGAGAACGGATCTCTCAGTCTGAAAATTTCTTCTAAACGCAATGAACTTCACAAAACAGGCAGCTAATGTTTTGAAAAAAAGCAAGCGGTATGGATGTGTTTCTTTAGGCTACAGGCCAGGAACAGTGTCTGGCTCCATTTTTAATGTCTTCATCATACACTGCACAAAGTGAAATGCATTCTGGGGAAAAATGTTCCAGCTCTTGGGTGTCATAAATACAGAATGAGCTAAAAGCCTTGTGTTCGCAACTAGGTGGATGATAAAAATGTGAAACGCACAGTTCAGCAGCAGTGCATTTAGCTTTTTTTAACCTCAACTCGGGCTGTCACGACCTTAAACAGACTGACAGACTATCAAGGTCGTTTTTGTTCACTTGTCTTAAGAGTGTATGCTACATGCATACATAATCTATATATAACATAAAAAAGAAAGGTTGAGGATAGGGCTGCACGATAAATCGCGTGCGATATTTAATGCGCATCTTGTCAGAAAGCCGGTTCTGTAATCAGCGGTAAATCTCCATCACGTGCATGCTTTCACGTTGAGCAGCATTAACTACACAGAGCCGTTGTTCACAGACGAGCTGCGCAAAACCACGTTCATATTCGCGCAATTTTTTGGAGATTTACCGCTGATTACAGAACGGATTTACTGATAAGATGCACGTTAAATATCGCATGCGATTTATCGTGCAGCCCTAGTTGAGGAACATATATTATACATATAAAAAATAATAGCCTTCTTATAGTATTAATGTAGATTCAAATGTAAATATTGACATGTGTACATACACACAAATATGTGAATGTGTGTGTGTGTGTGAACATATGCACGCATGCACACACACACAAATTGATAATTGTATGTAGGGCTGGACAATAATTCAATATGTTTTTTTCAATAACGGTGATATGATTTTTAAACACTTTTACTGATATTTCTATATACATTACCAGGTTTTCCCATACATTGATTTATTTGTTGCGTTTGACTTTGTTGAATAAACATGAGCACTGCACGTTTCAAAATCAAAACGCGGCGCAGGTGTTTTATATGAATGTATCTCTGAAGGGAATCGACTGTCTTCAGAAAAGTTTCGATGACATTTTTATTTGATCTGATAAAGTAGCAATCATGAGCGGAGCTGCTGTGATTACAACCGTTACCAGGGAAACCGCTAGTTTTATCAGTCTAAAAGCGCCTCCTGCTGGCAGAGAATGAATTTGCATTTTCAAAAAGCCCATCTCCAGCAACATTTTCAGTTTTTGTTGTTGTTAATTTTTTTTTTGTTTTCTGCAGCGACTCAGAGCACTTTTCATACCCTTTTTTTCTGGCTGAAGCACATTTGTTTTAATCTATAAGAATAATTAGCCTACACTACTAGATTAAAAACTTTTTTTTTTTTTTTAAGAATTCTCTTTTGCTCACCAAGGCTGCCTTTATTTACTCCAAAGTAGTAAACAGTAAAATGTTGAAATATTTTTTACTATTTAAAATTGCTTTCTATTTGAATAGATTTTAAAATATAATTTATTCCTGTGATCATAGCTACATTTTCAGTATCATTACTCCAGTTGTCAGTGTCACATGATCCTTCAGAAATCATTCTAATATGCTAATTTACTGATTATCAATATTTAAAACAGTTGAGTATTTTATTTTCAGGATTCTTTGATGAATAGAAAGATCCAAAGATCAGCATTTATCTGAAATAAAAAGCTTTTGTAACATTATACACTATTCAGTATAATTTTTTATTTTTTGGGGGAAAGAAATTATAGAAATTAATACTTTTATTTAGCAAGGATGCTTAAAATTGATCAAAAGTGACGATAAAGGCATTTATAATGTTACAAAAGATTTCTATTTCAGATAAATAGTGTTCATATCGATATTGGAATTATATCGTATCGACCGAAATTAAATATAACGTGATATAAATTTTGTCCATATCGTCCAGCCCTAAATGTATGTGACATTGGACATAAATATATTAATAAATATTTATATTTAACTTTTATATTTAGCAATTATTTTAGTAATTGTGTCATTAATTATACTTATTATATATTTATAAAATTTATATTTAATTAAATATTTTGTCATTTAATACATTCAATATATATATTTACTTTATACATGTCTAATTAATCAGTTTGTTTATATATATATATATATATATATATATATATATATTATATTTATTTTAAATTTAATCGTTTTTTTGGTGAAATGCTATAGTAATACTATAAATCTGCGGAAGCATTTGATACTACGCATAAGGCGCCATGATTTCCGCAATGAATGAATGGCTAATGGTGCTGTGCACTTTTTTGTTTACTACACACATACTAAAGTTCGGATGACGCTCGCGGTGTTTTCAGCTTCTGCCGTCTCACTATATGATGATATGAACACGAATGTCATCTCCAGCTGCTCTGAGAGTCACTTCCTTAGCATTTACCGTTTCATTTGAGAAATCTACCGTCATATAAAATAAAAGGGTTTAATTTTCATTTGATTAGGATAAATTAAATTAATGTTTTATGCCTTCATCTGATTACCAGAACAATTAAGAACATTTTAAATGGCCCTATTATTGTTTTTAAAAAGGTCCCTATACAAAAAAAATAATAGGCATGTGGTTCTTAATTTCTTTTAATTCACCATTTGTAAACTGATGTTTACTGTTAATTTTTTTAGAAATATCAATAGCATTTGTATTAAAACTATATTCACTGAATGTAATAAAAAAAAACGAGAATCGAATCGAATCGAGAGCTTGCATATCGAAATCGAATCGGGACATCTGAATCGATACCCAGCCCTAATA